ATTGATTGGTTTCAGTAAATTGTCAACTAACAAATACTTGAATTTTGAGATATTAGAATCATGAATAAACCTAGATATTTTCCTAAGTTCTAGGTTCCATGATGTTTTTAACATTCTTTTTACTTGCAGCTTTCCTATAATCTTTCGGTTGACGATGATAAGAGTAGGATGATTCATGTTAATTTTTCTCTTGTATTTTATCTTTCTACTTTCTTTCCCCTTAAAAGAAATAATTTTAAATGCATGTTGTTTTGACAACTATTTCTTTTCATTAGTAGATATGGAACCATCCTGGGATACTGCAATTGAACAAAGATGCTGTTGAAAACTTCCTTGCAGATGAGAGCTCAAGTGATGAAAATATAGATTATAATGTGGGTGTTGGAGGTATTCACTGTTTCTATTTAAATTCTTGTACCTAGCATTATTTACATGTGGACTGTGGACATGTCAATTTGCATGCTAAATATGCTAGTTTAAAATTTTGGTTCCACTAGGTATGGTTGATATTTTCTCTCTTTTCCCTGAAAGCAGTGAACTGATGTTGCTTGTTTAGAATGGATGTGTATGCTTATTTGTTCTCATGATCTATGGAATTTGGAGGGTTAAGATTTGTATGGAACTCCTAGTAATAATAATAATATATACACACATTATTAGCTTGATAAATCTGTAGTAAATCTCAAATTATTAGCACATATGAAAAATAAGAGGTTGGGGGTGGGATGAACCCGAAACATTGTCTGTGCCCTTTTAGGGTGTGAAATTGCTTATTGTGCAATCTTGTTCGTTATCAGGTCTGGTCTACTTACTGCTTTCACTATCCAGGCAATTGATTTGTTCTCATGATCTATGGAATTTGGAGGGTTTAGATTTGTATGGAACTCCTAGTAATAATAATAATAATAACTGATTAAGGAGCTTATCAACAAGCACCTTCAATCAAGGAGGTTTTTAATGAGGCCTGAAATTCTTATAAAAAAATAAATAAATAATAATAATAATAATATATACACACATTATTAGCTTGATAAATCTGTAGTAAATCTCAAATTATTAGCACATATGAAAAATAAGAGGTTGGGGGTGGGATGAACCCGAAACATTGTCTGTGCCCTTTTAGGGTGTGAAATTGCTTATTGTGCAATCTTTTTCGTTACCAGGTCTGGTCTACTTACTGCTTTCACTATCCAGGCAATTGATTTTACTTGTTATGTCAGTAAATGAGGTTGAAAACAAATTTTGAGTAATTTGCAAGTCAAAGAGTATTGAAATTTTGCGGTTTCTTCCATTTCAAGTCATTGGGACACATTTATAGTTTATAGAATCATTGGTAGTTTTCTCTGTTCAATCATTAGGGTTTCATAGTTTTGTGTTAAAATGGTCTTTGCTTCTATTTCAGATAAAATGAGGAGCATGAATGATTCTCTGCACGAGAAAAATGATTATGCATTTATTCAAAAGGTATGTGAAATATATTTATTTATGTGCGCCTTTTTTAAAATTCTTTATACAATAGCTTATGTTTATATTGATTTTTCTTATCACGCTGATGCTTGAATGTTTCTCTTTACTAGGGCTGGTGGAGAGATATTCTTCACCAAAATATTTATAAGGAACTTGATTACAGTGGTAAAATGGTTTTGCTGCTTGACATCATAACCATGTGTTCAGATGTGGGTGATAAAGCACTGGTTTTTAGTCAGAGCATTCCAACTTTAGATCTGATAGAATTATATCTTTCAAGATTACCTAGTCGTGGAAAAAAAGGGAAGTTCTGGAAAAAGGGGAAAGACTGGTATAGGTGCGTTTATATCACTGGAAACTGTTAGGAAGTTGTTAAAATTGTTTAATTATCCCCTTTTGACTCCGTATCTCTCTGTTAATTCACTTAGTTTTGTGAAGTGTGTTTGCTTTTATGCCAATTTTTTTTAGCAAATGGTTATTTCTGCATTAACATTTCTGTATTATGTTGTAAGCTTCTCCAGAAATGCACCTGATTTTGCTGGGAAGCTGGTTTATTTTTAATATATAACATCATATTGTGATCTAAGTTTCATAAATATGATTGTTGTAAGGAATTCTGAAAACTAAGATGTTTGAAGCTCTTTTTCGTTTGCTATGTGCTCTATAGACTGGACGGAAAAACAGAAAGTTCTGAAAGGCAAAAGTTGGTTGAGAGGTTTAATGAACCAACAAACAGCAGAGTCAAGTGTACTCTGATCTCTACGAGAGCTGGATCTCTTGGGATTAATTTATATGCTGCTAATCGTGTTGTCATTGTTGATGGTTCTTGGAACCCTACATATGATCTTCAAGCTATATACAGGGCCTGGAGGTGGGTTTAAGTCCATTATTTCTGTTAATTTTCACTCATATGTTTTAGCTGTTGCATTATATGTTTGTTATTATAGGTATGGACAGAAAAAGCCGGTGTTTGCTTATCGATTGATGGCACATGGGACTATGGAAGAAAAAATTTATAAGCGTCAGGTAAGGGAAATATTTCCCCCTTATTTGGTATTTGTTTTTTGAATAACCTTTTAACTCGAAAATGGTGCAAATAGGTGACAAAAGAAGGTCTTGCTGCAAGGGTGGTAGATAGACAACAAGTACATAGGACTATCTCTAAGGAGGAGATGTACATCTGTTTGAATTTGGTGAGGAAGAGTTGATGGAACTTAGTGAAGAGAATGGAAACCAGAATACAGCTAATGAAGGTGAAAAGTCACTGAAGCAGAAGATTCCTCTTTCTCATGGAAGCTGTTCCTCTGATAAAGTAATGGAAAGTTTACTTGGCAAACATCATCCAAGGTACTATCTATCTGTTTTGGTCTATCGGTTTCGGCTTTTATTTACCACGAATCAGTATTCTCCATTCTTTCTGTTGCCAGTTATGCTGGAATAGGCATTATCCATTCTTTCTGTTCCAGATGTTCTTTTTCCTTTTGAAAAAAAAAACAAAATTAGAAACTTCTTTATCTGATTCTGCTGTTTGAGTGCTATGTTATACAACATAAAGAAATTTCTTTGCAACGATCATATAAGTTTGACAGTAGTCCCTTTCGTAATTGGAGTAACTCCCCTATTTTTGATATTTTTAGGTGGATTGCCAATTTCCATGAACATGAGACCCTTTTGCAAGAGAACGAAGATGAAAAGCTCTCGAAAGAAGAGCAAGATATGGCTTGGGAAGTCTTCCAGAAAACCTTAGAGTGGGAGGAGGTGCAGCGAGTATCCCTCGATGAATCAGCCACAGCAGCAGAGCGCAGGCCTGTTGTTCCCGAAGCATCCCCTCCAAAACCAGACCCTGTGATGAATCACCTAACAAAACCCCAGGGCATTTTCAGAAGTAGGATTGTGCAACGGAAATGTACTAATCTCGCCCACCTGCTCACTCTCAGAAGCCAGGGCACAAAATTCGGTTGCAGCACCGTATGTGGGGAGTGTGCCCAGGAGATAAGCTGGGATAACTTAAACAGGGACAGCAAAATCACAAGGTAGTAAAAGAGTGAATGATCAATTTTCTCTCTCTCCATAATATTGACACTTCCAATGTAATTTGTTTGTGATTATAAATGACAAGTTATATGATCTCAGTTCAATCCCATTTTGAACACACTACATTATTGTAGGGGCCCCTTTATTGATGCCCATATACAGAAGTCATATTTTCCTTTTGTTTAGTTCCTTTGGGTAATGGCTGGGCCTTGGGAGGTGTTGGATGGCATACATGTTGAAGATCATAGTGGTGACCTTTTCCAATATTTTGAAGGGGCAAAGAGGTAGAAGGCAGTGAAAGACCTGAACTGGACTGGACTGGAATTTGCTCTCTTTTAATGAAATGAGTACATCATAGTTTGATCTTCTTGTGTTGTAATCAATATTTGCTATATTAAATGAATCTTTTACCATGTTTATTTATGCAAAAGTGGTCAAACTCTAAAATACTGGAAAGTTACAAATTTTGTACTATGCTCCAAATTGTGGAACTCTTTCATCTCAAGTTTTGGGTACATCCTAGAGGCTTATATGATACTTATCAATATCTTATAGGGTTATTAGGCCTCCTAACTATGTATGTGCAAACGGTTAATTAACCAAAAGTGAATTAATCGAATCTTTTTCTTTATTTGTTAACCCAATCAAAATTTTTCTTGAAATTTATCAACTGAAATGAACTTTGTTCGGTTGAAAATTTTTTGAGTTTTTTTAGTTAGGTTAATTTAGGTTTAATACAAGTTTTTTTCGTTTAGACTAAGTTTTGATTGGGTCTTGAAAGTTTAATAATTCGAGTTGCTGCATCTGAATCTGTGTTATCAATTGATTAAAAAATTAAACAAATATTACTTTGTTATCATCTCAGATTATTCAAAAGAATAATATATATAAATATATAATAAAAAATATTTTGTTTTTTGGGTTAATTCACTGATTTTATATACCAATAACTCAAATCGATCTAATGTCCAATTAATCGAACTAAATTTTGATTCTATCAGTTGATTCGGTTAAAATCAAACAATATAGAATTTTAAAGTCGAGGTCTAACATCATTAAACTAGCGAAACAGTTTTCAGATTTAGCAGATTAAATTCAATAATTTCAAGGGAATGTGCAAGACACAAGCATAAGCAAAACAGTAAAGAAGCTTTAACCACAACTATATTTAAGAATCTAACTAGAATGAATGCCAAACAGAAGAATTTTATACAACTCGAATTCTTTATCGACCCGGTTGCATCAGAAGCTATTTTTCTATTCACCTTAAAAGAATTTGTATATAGCACAAGAAATGCATGCTTAGATGCATACCGAATTGTGCCAGGAGCATGACTGTATCCTTTGTTCTGGAAGAAGAAATCCGGTCACCGGTTCTACCAATCTAACACAACGGAATAATAACACTGCCTTTTGCAGGTCTAAGAATACAACACAACTATTACCTTGTATGATTTGTACACTCAAATGCAAGGTATCGTGTCCATCAATCGGTGAAGCTAACTTCTTTCATCTCCTAGCCAATTATCTTTCTGCTTCGGTCCGGTTGGCCCTTCCTCGCCGTACAGTTCTGTTGGAAAAAGGTCAAAGATGTTCTCCACGGAAAACCGAACCAAAAATGGAAGGAGGCTAATGATCTTATCCAGTTCAGATCTTGAATCGTATACTATGGTTGGACCCCATTCTCTCATGTACTGCAACCAACATGGTTCTGTAACTACCCCATCGCCAAGGTACTCAGCCGCAACAATCTGGTACCTAGTGCTCGAATCAACAAAATATTTGCTTCGAGCAGCATCATTATATTCCAAGTTGAAAGCATCAACCCACTCACCACCACTATGCTGTGAAAAGTATACTTTCCATAGTTCTCCAGTGAAGTTACTGATCCGAAGAGTGAAGTGCTCCCAGTCACCTACATGTTCCCCGATTTTGTTCATCTGTATACTCATTAACCCGATCTTAAGGTTGGCCGGTCCATTGAAGGGGCAAAATATCCACATGACGATATCGGTAAATGTTCCTCCCAATGCTGGTTTTACATGAACGTAGAGCTCTGCACTTTCCAAGTTTCCATTTCTAACATTTTGTCTTGCATTATCATCCCTAGGTAAATCTATCCAAAATGCACCATCATTTGTCCCTCCACTAGGCAAGTTAAAGCCCAAATAATCAATAGGTTCACCTTTAGGCTTTCCATCTTTGAACAAAAGTGCCCCATTTTTAAAAAACCACTGCACCGATGACGGCATACAATCTTCATCGGGATGAAAGAAAACCGTTGCACCGTAGTGCTTGATGAGAGCGTGGATTTGGTCCAGATTCGGCATCGCATGTAATGAAGGATCAAGATTCTTCAAGCATGCAATCTCCAACTCTTGATCTTCGGAAACGAAGTAGGTGCAGCAGAAGAATGTGCCGACGGAAACACCTTTGCAGAACATACCCCTTTTGCAAGGTCTCGTGGTCCAAACCTGAAATGTGTTGGCATCGGCGGCAAGCAAGGTGTCCATAATCTCACAAGTCTCCGTAAGATCTTCTCGGACACATCTAACTTCTTCCACATTAGGCTCATCTGGGGTGTCGGTAACCACAATTCCCATCGCTTTGTATCCCAAAGGCGGGTTCGGCAGCCAGAAGAAACCACAACCATTACCATAATCCGTACTCCAAACCAAGGAGTAATTAACAGGCTTTCTTAACGCAGTAAAGTCTGTATCGGAATCATAGTCACAATAAACTTCTGGACTCGAAGGTTCCCTCTCACGAGCCGCAATAACATACCCTCTCAACGGCTGATCATTTGGCTGGCAATAATATCCAAAGACAGAAGAATCCATCTGGAATCCCCACAGGTCTATAAAATGTGACACCTTTTCCATGCAACAAGCTGCAGCTCCATACGCTCTCGAACTTGGTGATCTTAACCACTTCTAATTCTCCTAGGTTAATTTTTCCAGTAGCAAATCCTTGACCTGAGAAAAATGGCAGTAAATCATTATCAAAGTGAGTTGACATATCTAGTCATGATGTTTCATAGCACAAGTACCATAGAATAGTCTCTCTCTTTGAAGTAAAGGAGATGGGAAACCCCACCCCTCAAAAATAAAAAAGCTTAAACAAATTAAAAAAAACCCTAAAAATTAAATTAAAACATAAGTAGAATTAGATGCTAATCACCTTTTATAAAGGAAAAAATTCCATGTCAAGCATTAAAGTTTCTAGCTTTCAAAGTTCAAAACTTTCAAGCATCCTAGATATGTTTAACAATAAAAGCATGGACTAGCTTCTTGTTCAAGTTGCTTAAGCTATTGTCTTGGTTATCCACCACCATCACCATCATTTAGAAGGAAAAATGTTAGTAAGTGTATATATTTATAGGAAGAAAATTATATTTTTTAATTCAATATAAATAGTATTGGAGATTTACTTTTTGAAATGGTAATCAAAATATAATATTTTACTTATTAATATTAATTAAAATTTAATATTTAGGATCATAGTTGAAAGAAAGAAAAGTGTGTGTATGTATATATGGTGTAAGTTAATTTGATGTCAGAGAAAAAGAAATAAATTCCTTAAGAATGAATGAAAACAAAGATTAAAGAAGGTTGAGGGTTTAGAGGCAAATGAGATTTCCAAAGTTCCAACCCCACTGCATCAAATGACCCATTAATTTACAAAATCCAAGGCAAATAATAGGCCACCACCACCTCCATAAATGCCTTTTTTTATGTAGTTAAATTTGTTTTATTTTTATATAACAAAAATTATCATATCATTTTCTTTTCCTACTTGGGATTAAACGGTTATTTTTAAAAAATAGATAATATTTATATTATTATCCAAATAATTAGCTAAAAATCTTCATAATCACCATACTAAACTCACATAAGAAATGAGAAAAGAGAAGGAAAAAGGAAACCCATATCTCAGGTCATCATGATAATCAATTTTTGAAGGGAAAAAGTCACATAATTTCAATCAAAATTTCCTGGAAAGTATATCAAGCAAGCAACACCAAGAGGAAAAAAGAAAGGAATTTGAGTTTATGGATTGTAAATAGAAAAAAAAAGAGGGCAAGGGCATACATACCTAAAGGCCATTCTGGAATAGGAGATGGCAAGGAAAAAGGATGAGGCTGAAGCAAAGGCAATTCAACATCAGTATGTTTATGCCAACAAAAACATTCACAGCCAAGCATCTTATTAGCTCCTTAAAACAAACTCAAAACCAAGAAATTTATCTTCAATAGTATCAAATCAACCCTCTTTCAAACATATATATAAAAAGAAACCCCAAGAGAAAGAGATGTTGGAGAGGAAAAGTATAGAGCAATTCCTCTCTCTCTCTCTCTCTCTAAGGAACAAACAAAAAAGACAGGTTTTTCTTGTAAGACAAATGATTGAATAGTATGTCTCAAGTCTCAAATTTTCTTCTTAGAAAGACGAGAGAGAGTTTGGGTTTCGAGGGAAAAAGTTTGACGGAAGGTGATGATTTCAAGCCTGGGTTTTGTTCAATAATTGTACTATAATATACACAAATTCATATAATAGTATATTATCATGTTTTTCATATGTATGTTTTAATTCTCTGTCTAATTTGCTTAGGTCCGTTTGAAAATATATTTTGGAAAATGAAATCTGAAAAATGAATTATATTTCTGAAAAATATTTAAAATATTTTTTGAAAAATATTTTTCAGTGTTTGGATGTTACATTGAAAATATTTTACACTATTTAGTTAATTTTTTTGAAAACAATTTTTAAAATCTGTTTTTAATAAATAAGCATACATATTCGATATGTTTTTATTTTTTTCATTATGCCATTTACAATATATATACTAAAAGGTGTCAATGGACTTATTATTGGCATATTTCAGCTGTCAAGATGTAAAACACACAGAATCTGTACTCATAGAAGCTGTTCTCTGTCAAGCTGGGAACAACTATGACAAAAACAAAACATGACATCTAAGTGAAATATCTCATGAGATCAACCTGGTCATGACAATTCAAAACCAGATATTCTACAATGCATGATAACACATTTGCAATGTTCAAAGCCCTGACATAACCATTCTGGGCACCTATCCAACTAGCGAACCTTACAGTCCAACTAATAAGTTCATGTTCGAGCTGCAAAGTGGCATTAAGATGATCATCGCTAAGCTTTTTGCCGGATCCAATAGAACCTAAACTTTTGGCTTCTGTAATCACCTGACATTGACTACGATGGCATTCAAGCATGCGTTTCCACATTATGTTTAACCTGGAAAACGAAATTGCAAGAAAACAATTAAGGCAAAAAAAGAGAGTAAATGATAAGCAAATATTGGTTTGTGGAGTGACGAAAAATTGCACATTCAGCAAAATCAAGGAACATGCTTCACTTCACTTATAAAACTCCCTCTAACACTTCAAACCCTTTAAAGAGCTCTAGGCCAGTACTCCCATTATTGACATCCACCGCTCATCACCGTATACTTTTACAAGCTTCAACAGCTAAGACAAGAGATTCCTAAATATTAATGCAAATTACTAAAATGCCAAAGCAATGTCATTATGCAACCAATAAAGATAGCAAAAGGATTCTGATTAAAAATGCTAATTAAAGATATCAAATGACAATAAAAATGGCAAGGCCAAAAGTAAGATGCAATTATGTCAGTTAATAACAAAACACTAGCAATGTACGTAGAGAATAAAGAATGAGATAGAAAAAAGTAAAATAGTTGAACAAGCAAAAATAATACCCTTCAATCAGTTCATTGAGCAGAGGCCATAACTCCTCATCCCTGATCTTATTAATTGTCACAAATATCTTGTCAACAACTTGAATTGCAATTCTTATCTTTGTGGATAGGCTCTTGATCATATGCCTGGTTGAATCATTTTGTTTGCTTCAGCACCCCTTTCGTCTAGCCATTTCAACTTAACGACATTTCCTGTCATAAGCCACCCGCATCTTCTCCTCGGCCTACATTGCATCAAAAACTTCTAGCTCAGGAAAATCAGAAAGGTTATGAAACTAATAAAAGAAGAGGCATAAAGCTGCTCTTCATCCAGGGAATAACCAAGTCACAGACTCACGGTGTTCATAAAGTAATCCTAAAATGGCCTTTCTTCATATTTCAAAAATCCACCAAAAATTAAAACTACCCAAATGCCCAAATCAATAGATTTCAACAGAAAGAACATTAAAACTAAAAACACAACAAGAATTCAACATACCCATGAGTTCTCAGCAGTCTCCTCTGTGGGAGAGTGGCGCAAATCGAAAGCAAAGACAAGAGACTAGCTCTCCTGATCCTCACCGGCTGGCCTTTCTTTAAGCCATCGAGCGCGAAATTAACCTCGTCCACATGCTCCATCATTTCCCCGAATTCTTGAGCCTCCATCAGACTCGAAGTCGACGAATTCCACGAAAAACTGGGCTAAAAGCTCGGTTTTTGATTTATGCCGAGCCGGTGAAAATGAAAATGGAGGTCAAGGAAGATGAAACATCTATTAAAAAAGGAGGTGAATGAAGATGAAAAGGGAGAATATGAACAGAGAGATACCTGAGAAGACGACTGCCCGCCTCGCCGGTGGGAAGGAGGCCACTGGATCGATCGATTTTACGGTGTGGAGCAAGGGACGGGAGAACGAATTGTTTTCTGTGTGGAGCAAGGGAGTTGCAGAACGATGTAAAACAACTTACCCTTTCCAAACGGTAAGTTATTTTACCGTGTTTTCCTTCAAGTTTTCCGTTGACCGGAAAATAAAATACGTTGACCTCGAGTTTTACGCGAACCAAGCACATAAAAATGAAAAAAATATTTTCCGTAAAATGTTTCCCTCAACCAAACAGACCATTAGTTGGGGGAGGGTTTAATTTAAGTATTGATTATAGTTAACCTTTAATTTGTTTTAGCTTAAATTACTTATTAATTGATCACATTTTATTTAGTTTATGTTTTGATCACTCAAATATTATCTTTTTCAGAATTACATCTAATATTTCGTTTTGATTTTATTTTGATAACCCGTAATTAAAAAATTATTAATAATACTGATGTGATGTTTTTGTTTTTTATTATTAACGTGACATTACCTTTATGATGACACATAAATATCACTTTTAATTTTTTTAACGATAAATAATTAAAACAAAATCAAAACATAAAATTAGACATATTTTTAAAAAATTAATAATTAAATGACAAAAAAACAAATAATAGGTAGATGATCAATAAGATAATTTATTTATTTTTTCAATAATTAAAATCAAAATGTTCCTACTCCAATTTCAAAGAAAGCGTTCTTCACTCTCTCTTTTATTATCTTTTAGTCTTACAGGGCCCACATATTTTTTCTCCTAACAATTTCCTTCTTATTCAATCCTTAGGAATTATTATTTTTCCTTTGTTTATTCTCATCCAGTTTTTTTTTTCTCCATTATCATATTAAACTTCTATCTATAATTGTTTGTTCAAACAATATTTAAGTTACGAGTGTATTTCTTAATAAAAGAATTGTTGTTATTCTTTGAAGATTTGGGTTCGAGCATCATAAATATTAAGAGTGTAAACGTTCAATATTCAGAAATTTAAAGTTATATTTGAACAGATAGTATCTTGTACTTACCTAAATTAATAAAAAAAATTATGAGTATACTAATTTTGTTTGATTGATTAAAATTTAACTTATTTTAATTAATTTAAAAGTTTTAGTTTTTCTCACATTTAGATATTCAGATTCATCGTTTATAAACTATATTTTATCAGTTAAATGATCAAATATTATATTTTTCTTATAACTACAAAATATCAAATTATTTATGAAATTTTACAAAAA